CTAAAACGTAAAGTTTCGACAAACCAGTTATCCACTAAAGACTTTTTTGGTAAAAAGAAGTAACTTTGAAAGAGAAACATTCAGTTTTTTTAAATTTTTAATGCTTTCCCGCATCTATCGTTTTTATTTCCCACCCCCGCCAAAAACGATGCATCGAGGTTTCACTGTATAAGAAATTAGAACTATAGTGTGATTTCGCTTACTAACTTATATAGTCTCTTTTGGCTAAGAAGTGAGTAGGGCAAAATTGATGAAAGTCTTTCTTTACCTTCTGTTTGAGTTGCCGCTGCTTAAGCATGCCACGTTTGTCTACCTCCAGCTGGAATGGAGATGGTTGTGTCGATAGAACAAAAGACTGCTTCAGGATGTTAGGGGACTTTATACAGGCAGGTATTGGGTTAGCATGAAATTCACGAATTTTCTTCTCATGCTCCAGGTACTGAAAATTAGAAACACAGTAACAGCATTAGTTCATATTCTACATCTTTCTGGAATCACAAGTTTTCTGGCGTCTGTATGCAGATGAGATCAAAACAAAAGTAGACACTTTTGTTCCCTCCTAAACCTAGGCCCTTTTTACGAGTTTCTAGTACTTCATCTTCTGCTAGCATCATTTTCATTCTACGTGGCACAGATAGAAAACTAAGTTTCACATCTCCATTCATATAAGCAGTTCTAATGCCCGCCACAACGGATACAAGGAGCGTGTGGCAGGAAGAGACGTGTCTCGCGTCAAACATGAATGCCACAAATTAAAGGAAATGGCCATTTGCTTGCAATTACTCAAAATTATGTTAATGCAATAAGACACGAATCAAGCCACCTCACTTTCTTCGACCTGTGGGATATCGGAGGCTACGTTCTGAAAGAACATTGAGTTTCTAAGTCCTAAATCTCACCTTCTGAATTGTTTCTTCTTTCTTCTTAAGGAGCTGTCTGTTCCTTTCATCAAAACTGAAAGGCCGGACTTCAGTCGCGTGTTTCCGCCCTGCGCACCCTGCGGTCGGAATTCCAAAGTGATGAACTTCTTTCTCTGTGAGACACTTTTTTCCATCTTTGACCTATAATTCATATAATATCACTTCTTGTACACACAAAGAATATTCCTTTCACTTTACACTACAGCTCAGCACTTAGACATGCGACATAAAGGATCACTGTTACATAGTAAACACTAATTTCACAAGTTAGGATCGTAGGGATACGACCACACGACCTTGTGTGAAGGAAAAGAGCATTACCATTCCAAGTACAGTTAAGACTACATTTTGATCTGATGTTGTATAAGGCGCGTCCACAAAGTAAGTTTCCCATTCGTCCCACGGCTAGCAAACCTTATATTGCGCGAAGCGACTGTGCGTGCGTGATAGAGCAATGACGTAGCATGGCGCATGCACTAACGGCACCTCCCGCGTTCTCACAGTAGCATCGTTGCAGCTGTTGAAGATGGAGGTTCTTATTCCAGCTCCCGCCGACTGTGAAGTGCGGTCAGTGATAACGCTAGGCCGCACACGGCTCGACGGACAGCAAGTCTCCTGCAGGAGTTCAGCTGGGAGGTGTTTAATCATTTTTTTTTCCCAGGTATTCAAAAGTTGGTCCCACGGTATGACCAATGTCTCAATTCCGGTGGCGAATATGTTGAAAAATAGCTGGACACTTGCTGTATCTGTTGCAATAAATATTTCCATGAAATTGTGTTTTGTTTCTGTAAACGGCCCCAGGGAAACTTACTTTAAGGACGAGCCTCATAGATCACCATAACTGAGGTGATGTTAAACCCTTCACAGCGATGTCCATATCATATTACTGAAAAGATAAATGTAAAATCAGGAGAAATGTGTAATCAGACACACTAAGGTTCATTGAGGAAGTAATTATACAACATTAACCATTAACTCTTTTCCACGTGTCCATCAAATTGGGCTGCTTACTTTCTGACATCTCCATTGTCCCGTAAATTTTAATTTAAGTTTTACTGATCATGGCTACTTCACTGTCATGTACATCAGGCAACTACTAATCCTGTCAGTGCCTTCCATCACTGCTGGAATAGTAACTTCATTCACGTCTTCAGACTCGTCTGATTGTGTCGACTGGTCCGTGGTCACCTCTTCACTCATCCCAGTGGTCTTATCACATGTAATACATACTTCATACGTTGCAACCAACGTCGACTGGTCCGTGGTCACCTCTTCACACATCCCAGTGATCTTATCACATGTAATTGTGCTCTTAACTCATCATCTTCCATTCAACAAAATCCATTTCATTTTTGTTATCACAAGCATAAAAACTATCGGCGTGGAAGTTGAAATGAAACGCGCATTTATTAAGCAGTCTGTGATCCTTGAAATCAAGATTTCCCTTGAAATCGAAGTAACTAGATCATCCAAGCATTAACAAGAAACAGTGGAGTAAGGGTATTACATTGTACACAGGAGAAGCATCATTTTGTGAGAGTTCTTTCGACCCTGCACATGAAACACAGGACAGACCTTAAGGCAAGTTTACCTTAGTCCCCACGCACTGAAGAGAAACATATATGGCGACACAGACAAATATTTAAATAGTGACAGTATTAAAGATAATTTTTGCCTTGGAGATGAACAGGGGTGAATTTTATCACACATTGATGGCAGCACTAACCAAGCAAGACTGGCTGTTAACCCAGCCCCCTTACAGAGGTCAAGAACCAAACTCCTACGACCACCCCGATTTTGACCTCAAGAAGTATTTGACAGTGGTCAGTCTTCACACTGTGATGGGTAGACCACACAATATACAACAACAAATCACTATGTCTGAGTGCGTGACGCGCAACAGAATAATTCTGACCAAGCATCGGCCACACTCACTTGCCTAAATCAGAGGTTCCACTCCCAATACATGCATTAATGTAGGTTCCACGTGGAATGGTATATGGTAACGCCAACATGGCACCAAGAAGCAGATTAATGAGTCGGTATGATAATCTGAGAGCAACATCAAGAATTAAAAATATTAATAAAATAAATTCAAGAGAATTGTGGGATTCTCGACATGACCAACAAAGACGATGTTAAAAAACAAACAAATGTAATCCTGGTAGTGAAGATCAACAGATCACTAACTTAAACATAGCAAAAACACATTCCCCAAGGACCTTACATGGCATTACTTACATCCAGAGATACAGCATACACCTTTGATTTCCTCACGCAGGCAGGTGAAACAGACTCAGTTGATGATAATTCTCTCTTCTTTGAAACGCCCTGAGGTCCGTCCAAAACTTCCTTCGGAACTGGTTTTGCGGTGAAAGTGTATAATGGCGGAGCCATGATGGTCTTCTGTATGGAAATACACTTCTGTGAGTTTCCAAAGACAATGGACACCAGAGCGTCACAAATGACTAAGACACGTAAAATATTCTTCCATGCCCGGTGAAATACAACATGCCAAAAGCAAAATACTATGCACCATTCTGTTAAATTTCTCACTAAAATTGAAGCCAGGAAGCAGAGACTGTACCACAAAAGTTCTGATTGGTCTGAGTGGAAGATACAACGGCCGAAGTTTTCGCGTAGAGCGAAGATGTTACCCGCAAGTTACTGTATCATTAAATAAACCACAAACAAATGAAATACATTCAAAGATACAGAAAAAAGTATACTTTTAGTGATGGACATAACATTTTTAATTCCTGGCAAATTTTAACTCATCGTGTTTTTATAAAAACTGTCACTGAAGATTAAAAACACCACATTTCAAATTCCGCCAATCGCCGATACACCTGCCTCAATATGTGATGTCAAAATCTTAATACATTAAACTCTGTTTTGGAACTTCTTCAGTGCCGGCACAAGAGTCACGTGCACATTCTTCTATTACACTCGTTTGTGCGCAAACATTTCTCTGATTATTGATGGGAAAATTCGGTGCAGTGACATGAAATGTGAGATTCTGTGAAGTTTCTTTCTGCAAGGGCCATTCTATCCAAATCCTAAAGGTGGCGACTGACTTGTAACATTTACTCGTAATGTAACATTCGCGGCGAGCATGTTACATTATACCACAACTGGTGAGGCGTATCGAATGCTCGTTTTGAACGCTCAGCTCGACTGTGCTCATGTGTGCTCCATTCATTTCATTCAATATGTCGGACGTGGAGGTTGTGTTATCTTTGTTTCATTTAATACGCTACTCTTATCTAAAGAACTCGTGAATGCTCGTTACGACGCCGCTCGACTGACTGACTGACTTGTAATGTAACACTCAAAGGGATTCGCGAAAAAACCGACAACACGATGGAGCGCCCGCGAGCGTGAGCGGCTCGCATCGAGCGGCTCCGTTCGCTGTCTTCACTTGTGTAATGCTCGATTTGTAACACGTTACATTACAGGCAAATGTTACAAGTCAGTCGCCACCTTTATTCGTTTCAACTGTGCTCCTTTCTTTGCGTCATGTCACAGACATCGTGTCTTGACTGTTACATGCCTTGACGCATGCCGGTGTGCGGCCTACCTTATAGCTACCAAAGAAGACAACTGCTCCCATTTATGACTCAAATTTTCTGCACTTCGTGCAAATAATCGCAACAATTTGTAAATTCCACAAATGTGGAGCAGGTATAATCATATTCGATTTTAAATATTTTTTAAAATAATGGCAGTAAAAGAATCTATCACGTAAAGGATAACAAATAATACGTCGCATTTGTAAAACTGGGGCCTGTATAAAAAAGAGACACAGCACACGAAAACAAATAAAGCATTGAACATCATATCGAAAACAAAAGTGATTACAAGAACTTATAATGCGATGGGAAAGAAAAAGACTGCACAGTTCTGAGCACGGAAGCGGGATATCGACGATAAAGAGAGGGCACAGAGAGGGTAGAAGAAAGGAATGAGAAAAAAGGAAGCAATAATGCCCGCAGTAAAGGTCATGTTGTATCCCCAATACCCACTACGTTCTACTTTGAGAAAACAGAGATGCTATCTAATAACACGCGCTTCGAATGAAATTATATTCAGACAACTGCAGAAATTAACATTTTTCGTAATAATTCCAATTCTCTAAACCCTTAGGTCTACAAAACAAAGCAACGTTTCTTAATAATAAAGTGTTCGTAAACATAGTTATTTTAATAATTTACCTCGTTACATCTGCATTAAATTACTTTGCATTCTATATGAAACTTGCAACATTAGATAGGTGTAATGCAACATAAATAATATTGAAGTGCTACGTACAACGTGGTTAACAAAGTCGAGGCATACGGTCCGGATCATTTGAGATTCTGCCGAAACTCACGAGGATAAATTCAAATTTTCGTTGTCAAAGAAAACATTAAATTTGATTAGTCGTTTCAGAGGAATTACAAAAACTTTTACAGAATCTGCCGTACTCTGTTCAATGTCTGACCTTAATGAAACAATTACATTTGAAGTACAGAAAGTGATAATGCTATTATATTATTGAAATTAACTAATCCCACATCCTCATGAGCCAGCTTAATCTTCCATCTCATTCATGGCCTTCCAAGTGGACACCAGCTAAAATTCTGTATGCATGTCTCGCCCTCACCATCTTCGCTAAATGCCCAGCCTATAGTAGACACCTAGACGTCATGATCCCACCAATAGCAAGAGACCTGTGTAGATCATGTAGCTCATCGTTATAACCCGACTTTCATATTTCTTTGGTTAAATATTTCCCCGAGAACACCGTTTCAGATAACTGTAATTTAAGCTCGCCCTTCACAGTGAAAGGCTGAGTTAGGTACAAATAAAGAACAGGTCGAAAGAACTCTGGTTTCAGGTAACCCGAACCTCAGTTTGAACAGTAGATGGGATGACAGTTCTCGAACTGACTAACAAAAAGCATTTCCTGAGTCTTTCTTATCCTGCATGAACGTCACATCCATTCGTCGTCGTCGTCGTCCAAAAATAATATTGTTTTTAAACAGTCACTACTTTGTGTAAAGGTGTACATAATAATGACTGTTACCTCAAGGGCTCAATCAGACTGCCTCTTTCCATGTCTTGAAGTTGCAAAGGTTTCCTGTGTGGCTTACTGATACGATTACAGACTTTAAAATTACCATGAAGGACCAGAGAGGAACATTCTTACAACTTACCATTCAAACCCTAAAAGTCTGCTATTGCTGTAGACAAGCCTTACCTGCAAAGAAAATAAAAGATCATTGAAACACAAATACGTAATTTTCAAACGAAACTGGATAAGCAAATTAATAATTCGTATTTCACTTTTTTTTTAAAATTTAGAAACAAACTACATCTCTTTAAGTTTCAATGTATTAAATACAAGTCTGCATAACGCTTTCTGCACCAAGTAAGATTTTGACCAGAATAATACTCCATATAATTAAGAGACATATAGGCAACAAACTAAGAAGAGATCAAATGGGATTTCGAGACGGCGGGTCTTAAAGTGACCATGTTAATACTGTAAGAATTATTCTAGAACAGTTTAATGAATAAAAGTCACCATTATACCTTACATACATTGACTGCGAAAAAGACTTTGACTCCACAAATAGGAATAAAATGTGGAATGCAATGAAGATATTTGGAATACAAGACAAGAATGATTCTAAAAATGTATTAAAACTATACACGCCAAGCTGAACATAATGGGAAAATATCAGAACGCACACAGCGAGAAAAGATAAATGTAAAATCAGGAGAAATGTGTAATCAGACACACTAAGGTTCATTGAGGAAGTAATTATACAACATTAACCATTAACTCTTTTCCACGTGTCCATCAAATTGGGCTGCTTACTTTCTGACATCTCCATTGTCCCGTAAATTTTAATTTAAGTTTTACTGATCATGGCTACTTCACTGTCATGTACATCAGGCAACTACTAATCCTGTCAGTGCCTTCCATCACTGCTGGAATAGTAACTTCATTCACGTCTTCAGACTCGTCTGATTGTGTCGACTGGTCCGTGGTCACCTCTTCACACATCCCAGTGATCTTATCACATGTAATTGTGCTCTTAACTCATCATCTTCCATTCAACAAAATCCATTTCATTTTTGTTATCACAAGCATAAAAACTATCGGCGTGGAAGTTGAAATGAAACGCGCATTTATTAAGCAGTCTGTGATCCTTGAAATCAAGATTTCCCTTGAAATCGAAGTAACTAGATCATCCAAGCATTAACAAGAAACAGTGGAGTAAGGGTATTACATTGTACACAGGAGAAGCATCATTTTGTGAGAGTTCTTTCGACCCTGCACATGAAACACAGGACAGACCTTAAGGCAAGTTTACCTTAGTCCCCACGCACTGAAGAGAAACATATATGGCGACACAGACAAATATTTAAATAGTGACAGTATTAAAGATAATTTTTGCCTTGGAGATGAACAGGGGTGAATTTTATCACACATTGATGGCAGCACTAACCAAGCAAGACTGGCTGTTAACCCAGCCCCCTTACAGAGGTCAAGAACCAAACTCCTACGACCACCCCGATTTTGACCTCAAGAAGTATTTGACAGTGGTCAGTCTTCACACTGTGATGGGTAGACCACACAATATACAACAACAAATCACTATGTCTGAGTGCGTGACGCGCAACAGAATAATTCTGACCAAGCATCGGCCACACTCACTTGCCTAAATCAGAGGTTCCACTCCCAATACATGCATTAATGTAGGTTCCACGTGGAATGGTATATGGTAACGCCAACATGGCACCAAGAAGCAGATTAATGAGTCGGTATGATAATCTGAGAGCAACATCAAGAATTAAAAATATTAATAAAATAAATTCAAGAGAATTGTGGGATTCTCGACATGACCAACAAAGACGATGTTAAAAAACAAACAAATGTAATCCTGGTAGTGAAGATCAACAGATCACTAACTTAAACATAGCAAAAACACATTCCCCAAGGACCTTACATGGCATTACTTACATCCAGAGATACAGCATACACCTTTGATTTCCTCACGCAGGCAGGTGAAACAGACTCAGTTGATGATAATTCTCTCTTCTTTGAAGCGCCCTGAGGTCCGTCCAAAACTTCCTTCGGAACTGGTTTTGCGGTGAAAGTGTATAATGGCGGAGCCATGATGGTCTTCTGTATGGAAATACACTTCTGTGAGTTTCCAAAGACAATGGACACCAGAGCGTCACAAATGACTAAGACACGTAAAATATTCTTCCATGCCCGGTGAAATACAACATGCCAAAAGCAAAATACTATGCACCATTCTGTTAAATTTCTCACTAAAATTGAAGCCAGGAAGCAGAGACTGTACCACAAAAGTTCTGATTGGTCTGAGTGGAAGATACAACGGCCGAAGTTTTCGCGTAGAGCGAAGATGTTACCCGCAAGTTACTGTATCATTAAATAAACCACAAACAAATGAAATACATTCAAAGATACAGAAAAAAGTATACTTTTAGTGATGGACATAACATTTTTAATTCCTGGCAAATTTTAACTCATCGTGTTTTTATAAAAACTGTCACTGAAGATTAAAAACACCACATTTCAAATTCCGCCAATCGCCGATACACCTGCCTCAATATGTGATGTCAAAATCTTAATACATTAAACTCTGTTTTGGAACTTCTTCAGTGCCGGCACAAGAGTCACGTGCACATTCTTCTATTACACTCGTTTGTGCGCAAACATTTCTCTGATTATTGATGGGAAAATTCGGTGCAGTGACATGAAATGTGAGATTCTGTGAAGTTTCTTTCTGCAAGGGCCATTCTATCCAAATCCTAAAGGTGGCGACTGACTTGTAACATTTACTCGTAATGTAACATTCGCGGCGAGCATGTTACATTATACCACAACTGGTGAGGCGTATCGAATGCTCGTTTTGAACGCTCAGCTCGACGCTCGTTTTGAACGCTCGGCTCGACTGTGCTCATGTGTGCTCCATTCATTTCATTCAATATGTCGGACGTGGAGGTTGTGTTATCTTTGTTTCATTTAATACGCTACTCTTATCTAAAGAACTCGTGAATGCTCGTTACGACGCCGCTCGACTGACTGACTGACTTGTAATGTAACACTCAAAGGGATTCGCGAAAAAACCGACAACACGATGGAGCGCCCGCGAGCGTGAGCGGCTCCGTTCGCTGTCTTCACTTGTGTAATGCTCGATTTGTAACACGTTACATTACAGGCAAATGTTACAAGTCAGTCGCCACCTTAAGACCTCTGTTGCAAGGAATCTGATGAAACAGACCTTAAAAGTGCTGAAAGTCTAATCTCATTACCTTTTTCACTATTTCTGTCAGTTTGAAAGGCACCGGTACTGTTGGCGGCTTCTTCTCTACTCTTATGCCGAGTTTTGGAGGTTCCAGAATTTTTGGATTCAAAGGATTGGCCTTTATTTTGAATCTGGAAGATAAAAGCAATGGACATAAAACTTCAATATTTCCTCCGTACTAGCCACTGAGTAGTTCATGATAATACTGCACAATCTGAGCAAGGGACATTTAAGCAAGAGAGGAGCACTTATTACAGCAAAGGCCAAAACATGAGTTCTTGGGGTTGTGAGTGGTTCGCGGGGGTGTTTAATACTGAAATTCCTCAGCAAGTAGGTACCTGTAAACAGGGAAGAACTCTGAAAATGTCGTCAAGTAGTGACCCTCAATTTTATAAAAATCTGTGCATGGTATTTGTATACGTGCAATGTATCCTTATTCTGCGATGCGACAATGCAATAACAGGTAGTAACCCCAGCAAAATGTTTATTACTGTTACGTTATTAGTAAAGATATCGAGCAACATGATAGAAAAATGTTACAACCAACTGGCAGAGTGTAAACCCGTATTTCTCATTTTACGTGACACGTGACAATAAGAAACTGACAATACCAATGACTTTGCTGGCGTTCATGAAGTCTTCATTATACGCTGCACTATACTGTATTGCTTATAGGTATAACTGAAGTATACATTTAGAATACAATGGTTGGAATGGTGCCCATTATGACTACAGTGAAACCTCTATCCATCGTTCCCGGAACTATCGTTTTCCCGGATGCATCGTCCGTTTTGTTCGGTCCCGAATACATCCCATATAAAATAATGTTACATTTTCCCGCTTCTATCGTTCCTCGAACTATCGTTTTATCGCATCGATCGTTCAAAAATCGTAGTCCCGGCCCACAATTTTCCCGCAATGATCGTTCCTGAGAATTTAAAATGCTGGGTTTAGAGATAAATTAATACCGAAAGACGCACAATGTTTTTGGAATAAACAGTAGCGGTAACCTGTTATGTCGCCCAACCAGCACATTCTTTTGGAATGAGGGTCAGCGGTGCAGGGGTGATAGTTGGAGTGAATGGCGGTGC